TTCTTTGTTCATGCTTTGGCCTTGGGTCTTACTTGCTATGGTGTCTCCCCCACTTGTGCGTGCGAGCCCTCCCTGAAGGTCGATGATGTCACCTGGAACAGCCTCATAAACCTCTTGTCACAGAGTCAGCAGTGGCAAAGGTCTTTGTCGCTGCTCGACACCATCAAGGACCGCCTGGTTTCACGCCATGAGCCACAAACTTGGGACATGTGCGACGTTCGGTGTTTCTCCAGCCGCATTTTTGCCACAGCCTGATGCAACGCAGCTCGGTTCACGCAGCGTTTTTTTGAATACCAACTTCCAGCCTGAAAGCAGCTAGATTGTTTTATTTGTCAGGGCTCGCTTTTTGAGAACAGTTGCCAGCGGCACAGACACCCCAGTCCTTACCGGCCATGGCGTGACTTCATGCGTGCGCTTCACATAGCCAGGCCTTGAACAGAACAGCAAATGTAGCAGGCAATGGAGAACATCGCCCACGGCAGCGGTGCTTGCGCATGTAGATCACCATGTTGCGCCGCATGACAAGGCAAAGCCGTCGCCGCTCCAGCCCTTCTCAAACTTCAGGGGTTTTCATGTCAAGCGGTGAGTAGTTCGCGGTCTAGATTAAAGGGTGTGACACGATCGCAAGGCGAGCCAAGAAACAGTGTAATTCTCTCGCCGAAAGCTAGCTTGCTCGAGCACGCACACACACACACACACGCACCAAGGCACACGCGCGCGCACAAACACACAAGCACAGAAAAAGCACAAACGCACAAACACTCAAACACACAGACATGCACACAAACACGCACAATCGCAAACACAAAATTACACAAGACACACGCACACACACAGAGACACATCGGACAAGACACACACACTTGGAAGTATGAACATCTCGCAAGGGGTTCCTGTGCACATCGAGGCACACGCGCATGAGAGCTGCGCTCAGTCTTGCGACCGTAGATGGGGAACACGTGCGTTGCTGCATTTCCTGATTATCTGACATGGAGCAAAGTTGGCAGAGGCCGCCCTCTGCCCCCTGCGTGAAACCAAAACTTGTAGCCACTTGCAAGTTGCCTAACTTGAGTTAGTAAGTTCGCTAAGTCTGACTTGGCGGACTTACAACCTGGCTAAGTCCACTTGGCGAGTTAGAGGACTACTTGGCTAACCAGGTTGTAAGTCCGCCAAGTCAGACTTAGCGGACATACTAACTCAAGTTAGGCAACTTGCAAGTGGCTTAGCAAGTCGCTTCAGTTCGCCAATTACATAGCAAGTAGGCCGCCCATCCAAGTAAGCAGTTTTGACAGCGTTCGCAGGAGCACGCTTCTTGGAATCCCGCGCTGCGCGTAAAGACGCAGCAACTCCTCAAACGACAAATTAAAATCACATGGGCGCGAAGCCTGCCTGGTTGTAAGTCCGCCAAGTCAGACTTAGCGGACATACTAACTCAAGTTAGGCAACTTGCAAGTGGCTTAGCAAGTCGCTTCAGTTCGCCAATTACATAGCAAGTAGGCCGCCCATCCAAGTAAGCAGTTTTGACAGCGTTCGCAGGAGCACGCTTCTTGGAATCCCGCGCTGCGCGTAAAGACGCAGCAACTCCTCAAACGACAAATTAAAATCACATGGGCGCGAAGCCTGCCTGCGCAAACCTACGAGAGTTGGCGCTAATTGTTGACTGGTTAGTAGAGCGACGCTCCGTTGATGCACGTCAGTGCGGAAGCCCAATAGCTTGCAAAGACTCCCTATCCGTATAGAGGCGCCGTTTGCTGCGTGGGCTGGGTAAGCGCGGCCACTGCGCCACACTGCTGGCGCGGCTGGCGAGCCCATGTTGGCTCCACGTGTTTGTTGAACAACACCGTTGCCCACAGCGGCGTATCTGAATGTTTAACCCGCGAGTGATAGTTCAACATCTGTAGGGATGCTGCGCAAAAGGGGCAGAGGTGGCTGTCAAAGAAACATGTTGTTTGGGAACAGTGGTTGTCAGTAGCGTAAGGAAGGCCGCTGCCACAGCGCAACTCCGTGGCCCAGCAGTCGGCGTATGACACAGCGGGCCTGGCCCACCTCCAAGCCGTGGACTCCATTGGCAAAATGTAAGCATATGGCGAACATTTGGACCAACGAAGTACCCATTTAGATCGCTGGCGAAGATCAATAGGAATATAAGTTTGCATCCCCCTTGCGACCTCCATGGGGTTGCGCGACGCGTTTAGCCCAAAGATTGTGCCATCATTCAGACTGGAATCAACAAGGTAGAAAAAGTGCACGGGACAGCGGCAGAAAGCCGTGTGTGGAAAGTGATCAGCAGGGAGACAAACCAACTGCTTGAAATGAGGGGCAGCTATCAAATTCGGACTGTCGCAGCATCTGGTATAGTCGAACCAAAGCATGCAGCGCATGCAACTTCCACTGCTGCGTGAGAAACACTGCCCACTCGTCGCGCAAACTGTCCGGTAGGCGCCATCGCTCTTGCCACCGTTGCATTTCGCGTTCAGCCGCGAACATCAATGCGTTTCCTATCCGCCGCGCCATATCTCCATGATGCTGTTTCAACACGCGTCCCAATGGAGGCGAACAAGTGCCCATTGGCTAGTCTCGGCACAGTTGCTGGACAGCGCGCGCAAGTGGATTCCACCTCATTTCCAGGCTCAACCGCAGCTTGTTCAATTACAAGCTTGGCGCGTTGTGTTTCGTACGTACTTCAACTATTTGCCTTTTCGGGACGTGCCCTGGCGGCTTGCGTTCAATGATCCATTGTCGTATCCAGCCATTTAGTTGCTTGGTGAACAAAGCCATGGGGCAATTCTCCCAATCGCAGTGTCAAATTTGCGGGTGGAGCATCAAACCCTTGAAACCAATCTTTACCAAACAACTCAACTAAACAGTGTTTGGGCCGGAGAGCGCGGGAAGTAAGGAGACGCTCATAGCCATCGCTACGGAGGGCGTGTGTTAACCTGAAAAGCTGAGGGCTTCATCCCTACGCTGCAACTGCGCAAGTGGACCCGTTGATACGGCCCACGCCGAGGACAGTAATTCCGCGCGAAAGCGCGTGTAACTGAAATCTTCGGCCTGGCACCCCGAACTCATGCAACTGTTGGAAAATGTACGGAGAGCTAAGCTTTGGGCGAAGAAATCGCAAAGTTGTGACATCCGAGTGTTGCGTAAGAGGCAAGGCACGCATCAAGTCTATCGAGTGGATAGTATTTGCCTTTAGGTACCAATATCGCAGCACAGGTTTGTAGTAGGCAATTTTCTACGGCGAGCGCGCGCTTGCTGCCAGCAAGCGCGCGCTGCGCCGCCCACATACCCTGATGTGTGGAACCAAGACGTTTCAATTACACGACAGAAGAACGCTCGACAATTGGTAATCCGTGGGGACACCACATTGCAACAGCGCTTTGCGAAGAGTACGTCGATGCCTGGTGTGTCCCGGCAAGCGCAGCACATGTAAAAGAGTATGGAGCCAATGTATGCGCCGAAGGCGGCAGGGCCCTCCCAGTCATAGATTGACAAACAGAGCCTAGCCGAGGAAATCAAAGCCTTCAAAAGTCGGCGCATATCGGCGACAGTTCGTCAGTTTTGCAGACAGTGCCCAGGCTGCGGCTAAAAGGCGCAATCCAGAGCCGCCTGCCACTGCGACATCCAAGCCCCATGCCACCGACACGCGCCCAACCTCTTCTGAAGTTCGCCACGAAACTTCCCGCGATCCAGCTGTTGAAAGCCTTGCGGGGGGTCGTTCTCAAGCTCGGACGGTTGGTCCCGGCCGCGCCAAAAAAGGCGTAAGTTGCGGGCCAGCCAGCTGGCGCAGCGGGTTGCGCCGCGCTGCAGCTGGCTGGGGCGCCGCTCCAGGAACCTGTTAGGAGGAGTTGGCTGTGGAGCTGCCGTGTTTCAACCGCGTCTCAGCCTCCAGGGCCTGTATCTCCTGAAGACTTCTGTGTGGGGAAAGCTGCTTTTTGAGGAGTGCGACAAGGCGATCCACAGGTTCGAACACGCGCTCTCCAATTGTTTGCACATATCTTACAGAATGGCGGACAAATCGGGCAGCTGGCAGAGTGTTTCAGATCTCCACACGCAGCCACAAGCCGCGTAGCCCAATTTGCCCCTTGTTTTTACACCAGTGGCATGAGGGCGCCAAGTGTGTCGGGGCCCTGCAATGACCTGATTCTGCCTGTAAAGGTGTCTAAATGGGGCGTGACTGAGGCTACAAGGGGATCGAGTCTGACGTTTGACCGGAGATGCCCTTGTCAACCAGTCTCATGTAGGCTGATGCTGCTCCGAACCCGGTCATCTTTGGGGGACCTGGAATCTGTTCTGGACTTGCCCAATCTATCGCGGCGAGCTCCGGAACCGAGCGTCAGAGCCCAAACAAAGACGAGAAATGCGCAGAAGGCTAGGCTTGAAGAGCTACAAAACTGGCAGTGAAACAAGGCAACATGTAGCAATTGCGCGCAAGCTGAAGAGCACCATGCGTGCGAAAGCTGGTCACACTGCCACGCGTTGCGCTGAGTTACACTTCGTCACCACGCGCGGATGGTTGGTGTCGCATGCAACTCTTGAATTTGAAAGGAGTAGAGACCTGGAAAACTAAAAAAGGGTTCACAGTCTGACGTGACGGGCTGTCCTACAAAAGATTGCAAGGCCGTAGGATCTACAGAGATTGCTTCGAATCTTGTAGCGTCCCTCCTTGCAATGTCACAAAAGCGCAAGGAAATCAATTCTGCCTCGGCGCCCCTGCGGAGACTTTATGAATTTGGGTTTCTCTAGAGTACGCCTTGCCCGCTACACAAAAGGGGCGAGTAGAGGCCATGGACGCAGCCTCAAAATCTGTGAGGCTCTTCCAAAGAAAGGGCCCGGGAACCCAAGTGGCGTCCATCTGGTTCCACCACGGCGGACGGATGAAGGCTAGATTTGTGTCACGGGCAACCTTAGCATTCCCCGGGTGACTCAAATGTCCGGAACAAAAAAAGCCCGTTTGCAGCCACTGCACGGTATCAACAAATGACAGCGTGTCATGGGTCAAGTGCGAAGCATATTTTGCAGGTGCTCTCCCGAAGATCCTGGAAAGTCCGCTCTGGGATGTTCAGGTAAATCCCCAAGTGATTTGGAGCTCACATGTCCGCTCAAGGCAACTGCGCCACTAGTTGCCGAAGTGATGCCCACTAAACCCCCCGCAAAAAGAAAAGGAGAAGAAACAAAAGAGGAAACAGGCTCCCAGTCAGCATCCCAGTTACACGAAATTGACAACGGCTTCCCAAACGAGCATGGAGCCAAGGTGGAGGACCAAGATGCAGTCAGAGGCCGTCAAAATACAAGTTCTCCCGCTCGTTCCGCGGTGTTTTTCTCCCCTCCTCTCCCAACCCAACACATCTCAATAAAACGCAACGTCACCCAACACAGCGCGTCGCAACACAACACAAACACAACGCAACACAGCGGGACGCGACGCAACGCAACACTGCACACAGTCTCCGCAAGCATCCAGAAGCGCAGCGCACCGAAGGCTACAGGAGCGACCCAACTGGCTCTACGTAGCCAAGGGGCAGCTCGGTTCATATAGAACACAGGCAAGGCTCACGGCTCCAAGGGGTGTCTTGGTAGCCAATCAAGGCTCGCCTCGAACAAAACGAGAGGGCAGAGGCAACCGCAAGTCCAACGAGACAGGGGAGGAGGCAGAGAAAAGAAAGACAAAGTCGGCGAGGGAGGGCGGAAGGCAAACAAGGAGCAACAACAACGAGCACAATCACCAAACCCCAAAACAAAAAACAACGCAAAGGACAAAGGAACTGCGTCCAGCGCAGGCTGCCACCTTCATGTCTTGCGACTGTAGATGGAGAACGCGTACGTTCCCTGGACATCGGCTATTGATTCTAATCAGTAACTTTCGATTCCTGTTGAAAAAGCCTTTTTTCAATAAAAAAAAGTAAGTGATTTTAAGAGCTCTAAAATCAATACCGAAGCCCCTTCAAAATCAATGAAAAACAGCTCAACAAACAAACAAAAAAAACAAAATCAATAGAAACCATAGCTGTGTTACTTGCCAAGTCATATGCCAAATAAATAAGCAGTGACAGATATGCACCGCTACCCTAAGGCTGCAAAAGTCTTAAGTCAAGAAAGACAAATGTTTACGTAAACGGGAGAAAGTACGAAAATAGTTGTTCAAAAAAGGCTAAATAATTACATTTCTAGTTTGCTCCCATAATCATGGCCAAATTTTGTTGTGGTGGAAAAAGGCAAAGTCCCACGCACGCGCGCCGAAGCAAGGACTGTACACTACAGCACGTGGCCAGAAAAACCCAAGCTTTTCATTTACCACTATCGTCTTACCGCTAAAATGGTTTTCCAAAAAAGTTTGAAGTCCAGGAATCAGGGAGTGAAGTTCTATTACTAGCGGCGGTGTTCCCTCTAAAAACTGTCTGAATCCCCACTAAAGGGGGACAGTTCCCAATCAAAATCAACCAGGGCTTAACTTCATCTGCGGTTTCCATTACCTTCCTGTCCACTAACATGGAACCCACCAAAGGGCCCCTCCTGGTTGCTAACATGTCTTTGTTTGTTGTGTGTGTTTGGGTTGGGGGAATTCCCAAGGTTTTGTTTGAAACTTTGCACTTACTTAGGGTTTGTTGGGAATGTCGTTCTGGGATATGGTTGCTGACATGTTGATTGTTTGGTTTGTGGTATGTGTTTTTGTTTGAACTCTTGGGCTTTTGGACAATGTGGATGGTTGCTGACATTTTATGTTGTGTTTGTTTGTGTCTTTTGGACTTCTCGAGGTGTTTTGGGAATGTTGCACTTACTGCGGTTGTTTTTTTTCATCTGGGACGTGGTTGCTGACGTGTTTGGTACTTTTGTTGTTTGAGTTCTAGAATTCCAGCATCATTCACCCTGGCCAAGGGACCAATTGGAAGCCAACAGCCCCTATGTTTTTTCTGGTTCATCATTTTTGCTGGTAAAGACCCATGCCACCAAACCCAAGGCAAATGCAATGAAGATAGCAAAGTTCCCTTGAGAAAATGGAACAACAAAGGTGATGAAGTGCTCTGTGAAAATAACTACGGATTTTTACCAGGTGGCGCCTGCAAGGATGCAAAGGAAAT